ATAATATCTATATAAATAAAATTTTAACTTTTATGAATTTAATTATTTTTTCATTATCAATTTCTTAAACTTATAAATTATTTATAAAATAGTGTTGTCAATTAGATAACAGAAAATTGTTTAATAGTTTCCATTCCTTTATAAAACCAAAAAGTTGATAATAATTTTTTAATATGCAAGATACTTCAGATTTTAATAGATAAACTTTGAGAATATATAAAGACATCCAAAAGAGATGAGAAAAAACTCGTAATTGCGTAAATTCACAATCTTTTCTTCTTATCTCTTTTGGATGTCTTTATATATTATTCTCAAAGTTTATCTATTAAATTTGAAACGTTCTGCATATTTGTAATAACGCATTTCAATATTACAAATACATTGCACCGTAACATTACTATAGTCTTACATTGTAATATTTCTAAGGGCGGACATTTCAAAGTTGCCGGCTTGCAGTAACATTGCAGAAACATTTCGCAACTTCTATGCAATATTACAATGTTTCGATGTTTCAATGTAAGGTCTATGCAACGTTTCTGCAATCTTTCGGTGCTGTATGGGATGTTATCAAGGTTATGTTCCTGAGCATCATTCGAAAGGTTTTAACCATCGTTCATTGTTTATTAAAAAGTTATTAACAAAAAAATTGAAGAACGTACCAGTTAATATCAGTGCTAAAAATGTAATTTGCCGATATGTTTGAAGAAAACAACATACATATATATGAGCGGGATATGAGTAGGCATCTCGGGTGATATGGAGTAGACCCTCCTTCGTGTGAAAAATTGAAAACCTATGCGAAACCGTGCAATAATAAACCTCGTTTCGCATTTAAAGCTGGAGGCAGTGAGATACACATTGCTTTGCGTGAAAAATTGGAAACTTATGTGGAATTGTAATAATGATCCCAGGAAAGGCGTGGACAGAGAGGAGCTCCGCCCCTTTTTCTGCACCCTCACCCCGAGAAAATTAACCTAACCCAAGAGAATTTAACCTTTTTAAAAAAAGGTAATAAAAGGCGCCAAGTACATGCGCTAGTTGTAAAAAACTGTTATATGTATTTATAAAAAAGATTTCCTATTACTTTCTTCTTCTCCTATTAGAGCCTCGCTTTCTTCTTTTGCCTTTCCATTTCTTTGACTCTTGCTTCTGCATTCTTTTTTCCAGTGCCCTTTCTTTCCGCATTTAAAGCATTCTCCGGTCCTGCGTTTTGGCTTAATTTGCTCATTAACCTTGCTTCTTTGACCTCTTCGTGCTTTCACTGTTAGAGCGCTATCGGTAGTTTTATCCTGTATGTTTGTCCTGGCTTCCTCTATCATTAATCTTGACGTCAAATTTGCCAGCGTTCTTTGTTCTTCATTTAAAGATTCCCATGCGCATGCAAAATGATTCAGGCTTGAAGGCAGTGTCAGCAAGATTTTTGTTATTATCATGCTTTCCGTCACCGGTTCTCCCAGTGCCTTTAATCTGTGGCTAATATCTTCTATTTTTGCTATGTAGGACAAAATATCATCCTGCGGATCCTTTGTTAACGCAAACCATTTCGCCTGCAGCATGTGCTTGCTAGTAGCGTTTTTGCCTTCATATACAGACACGAGTTTGTCCCACATCTCTTTGGCATTTTCACAATTTGCTAAGTGTAACATTGATTGCTCACTTACGTTCAATATTAAGAGTTTCTGAGCTGTGCTATCCGTTTTTACCCATGCTTTTAGCTTCTTTTGGTATTCTGTTACCTCTGCTTGATTTTCTCCTCTGGGCCTCTCCGGTTTGTTCGCGTGGCCTTGCACCACGTCCCATGCTTCTCCAGAAGCCAGAAGAATTTTCATTTGGAATTTCCACATGTTTCAATCTTGCTCTCCTTTTAACTTATTTATTCTTTCGTTCTGTTTCCTTTTTGTGTCCTTGAGGTATTTCTCGCACTGTTTGCACGTGGCCGGCTAAAACCTCTGTTCTATTTTACCCGTTTTATTCAGACACTACGGCCTGGGCCCATAACCTGTTGGGTTTTTAGAGTTTAACTTTATTATTATAATACACAGTTTGTAGGAAGGATTCTTGAGAACGTGGTTTAAAAATACTATAAGTCGAACACGTCTTTATCGATACGTGGTCTGATCTCGAGAGAGCGAGGATCGCGCGGTGTTCCGTTTGCCGGTTTTCGCATATCCCTCTCCTTACGCACGCGCAGAGCCTTGATTGCCACGTCTTGGCGCTTGCTCCATACATTTACATATATACACGCACACATTATACATACTCATCACACACACAGATTATAGTTCTTTCCTGAACACTCCCTCTTATAATCCATGTGTCTTTTTACATACATTTTTTTATAGGTTTATAGTTCCTTTATGCCAATTAATTCGCGTAACATTTGAAATTTTTGTTTGCCTAAGGGTTTTGTAAGGATATCCGCTTCTTGAATATCAGAATTAACGTGCTGTAATTGAATTTCTTTATTCTTATACTTTTCTCTAATAAAATAAAATTTGATGTCTATATGCTTACTTCTTTGGTGAACATCAGGATTTTTAATAAGTCGAATCGCACTTTGATTGTTGATTCTAAGTTCAGGTACTTTGATTGTCTCTTGTGTTAATTCTGATATCAACCTATGCGTCCATATTATTTCTTTAGTCGCTTCGCACGCCGCCATGAACTCTGCTTCGGTCGTTGAAAGCGCTATTGCTTTTTGTTTTTTCGATCCCCATATTATTGGAGCACTTCCGAGTTTTACAATATATCCGCTCATTGACCTCCGTGTTTGCATGTCACCCACAAAGTCCGCGTCGCTATAGGTGATTATATTTTTCCAATTGTTTCCTGCTTCGTATATTATACCATAATTAGCAGTTCCTTTTAAATATTTAACTATTCGCTTGACTGCATTCCAATGCGCTTTGCAAGGATTTTCTACAAATTGACTAGCCGTTATCACCGCAAATGCAATATCGGGTCGCGTGGTTTGCACTAAAAATAATAAACTACCAATCGCCTCTCTATATGGCACACTCACATTATTATCGCTCGCTCGCTTAAACAGTGATATATTTTGATTATTGTCCGCAGGTATAGTTACACTGTTAGCTTCGGACATATTAAACTTGTCTATAACATGATTAATATATTTAGTACTTTTTAACGAAATGGCGCCGCTTTTATATGTCTTTATCTCTATTCCTAGAAATAGGTTTATTTCAAGTATTTTAATTTCGAATTCTCGGGCTAGTATTTCTAGAATTTTGCTGATTCTTATTTCACTGTTTGATACAATTAGTCCGTCATCTACGTATATTACTATAAATGTTTTTTCTTTACTTTTTGTACTTACAAACGCACATGGATCGACATTAGTTGCTACTATTCCAATCTTTTTTAAGCAGTCTGTGAATTTAACGTTCCAACAGCGCGGTGCCTGCTTTAGTCCATATAAACTTTTGTTTAACTTACATACGCGTCCTGTTCCATCTTCGTGACCTTCTGGTTGCAGCATATAGATTTCCTCATCCAGCTTACCGTTAAGAAAAGCAGTTTTAACGTCAAACTGCCTCAATTTTAGGTTTTCCGCCGCTGCCATGGCCAAGACTGCTCGAATGGTGTTGTATTTTGCCACCGGACTAAATGTTTTATGGAAATCCACTCCTTTTTGTTGCTGGTATCCTTTTGTTACAATTCTGACTTTGTAACGATCTTATTTTCTTTTTCCTTTTGGCTTTTGCATTTTTCTGATTCCTCTACGAATACAACATCTCGCTGTGTATCTACTTTATTTTGGCTCGGATACCAAATTCTGTAGCCTTTTGTTTCGTCTCCATATCCTACATGTACTCTCTCGGTTGCTTTTGAATCCCATTTCAACCTTTTTTGTTTAGGAATATGTACATATACCTTTGTGCCAAATACCTTGAGATGTCTTATGCTCGCCTCCTTTCCATGCCACAGTTCATACGGAGTTTTGTTGTTTAATTCATGTTTTCTAGCACGATTTAATACATATGCTGCTGTATTAACAGCTTCTGCCCACAATTTCTTGGGTAATTCCTTTGCTAGCAGCATTGACCTAGCTGCTTCTACCAGAGTTCTGTTCTCTTTCTCTCTCAGCTCGGCCATTCTGTTCGGGTGTATAGGCTACTGTCCGTTCGTGACGAATTCCTAGTCTTTCGGTCTCTTCCTTCATCTTCCTGTTGATGAATTCTAATCCGTTGTCTGTTCTTAATGTCCGTAGCTTTCTTCCTGTTTCTGTTTCTAATCTTGTTCTGTATTTCCTGAAGAATTCTGGAACATCTGATTTATTTTTCAAAAAATATACCTTTCTGTACTTAGAGTAATCATCCTTGAAGAGAAGAAAATACCTTGAATTTCTAATCGATGTTTCCTCCATGGGGCCACACAGATCTGCATGGATCAACTCCCCTACTTCTGTTGCCCTGCTTTTGCTCGTTGAGATTTTCAGTCTATGCATTTTTCCTGTTACGCATGCTTTACATGAGAATTTGCTTACTTGTTCTGTTGCTTTTATTCCTTCGTGACTGAGCACTTGTTTGACATCTTTAATGTTTAAATGTGCTAGTCGTTCGTGCCATTCTTGCAGGGAGGTTGTTTCCTTTGCCTTTTTCTATCATAAGGGCCTCTTCCGTCAGTACTCTCTGTATTTTCTTTTTTGTAGAGATTGCTTTCCTTCTCTCCGACCATAATCGTACGTTCGCCGGATTGTATTGCACAGTGTTTCTTATTTCCTGTGACTGTGTATCCTCGATTTGTTATTGCTCCATATGATACGAGGTCGTACTTGACCTTTGGAATAAAGTGTACGTTAGACAAGTGTTTATTTTCTTCCCAGCTCTTACCTGTGTTGACGCGTATTGGAATTTCGCCAACTCCGTACGAAAGAAGGTGATTGCCATCTCCTGTCTTGAATTTCTTCGGTTTTTCAAACTCTACGTAATTTACCAGCCATGTCCTGTTCGAGGTCATGTGGGCCGATGCTCCTGAGTCTAAATACCACTTTTCTTCATCAGTTTCCTCGTTATTTCTTCTTCTCCTATTAGAGCCTCGCTTTCTTCTTCTGCCTTTCCATTTCTTTGACTCTTGCTTTTCCAGTGCCCTTTCTTTCCGCATTTAAAGTATTCTCCGGTCCTGTGTTTTGGCTTAATTTGCTCATTAACCTTGCTTCTTTGACCTCTTCGTGCTTTCACTGTTAGAGCGCTATCGGTAGTTTTATCCTGTATGTTTGTCCTGGCTTCCTCTATCATTAATCTTGACGTCAAATTTGCCAGCGTTCTTTGTTCTTCATTTAAAGATTCCCATGCGCATGCAAAATGATTCAGGCTTGAAGGCAGTGTCAGCAAGATTTTTGTTATTATCATGCTTTCCGTCACCGGTTCTCCCAGTGCCTTTAATCTGTGGCTAATATCTTCTATTTTTGCTATGTAGGACAAAATATCATCCTGCGGATCCTTTGTTAACGCAAACCATTTCGCCTGCAGCATGTGCTTGCTAGTAGCGTTTTTGCCTTCATATACAGACACGAGTTTGTCCCACATCTCTTTGGCATTTTCACAATTTGCTAAGTGTAACATTGATTGCTCACTTACGTTCAATATTAAGAGTTTCTGAGCTGTGCTATCCGTTTTTACCCATGCTTTTAGCTTCTTTTGGTATTCTGTTACCTCTGCTTGATTTTCTCCTCTGGGCCTCTCCGGTTTGTTCGCGTGGCCTTGCACCACGTCCCATGCTTCTCCAGAAGCCAGAAGAATTTTCATTTGGAATTTCCACATGTTCCAATCTTGTTCTCCTTTTAACTTATTTATTCTTTCGTTCTGTTTCCTTTTTGTGTCCTTGAGGTATTTCTCGCACTGTTTGCACGTGGCC